ATCCCTGTCCCCGTGCCAGGCATGCCCCGGCGCCCGGCCGTGCCCGCGCTGACCACGCTGTGCCTGCAGAACCTGGCCCAGCACATGCAGAGCCTCTGGGCCAAGCACTACACCGACAACCGCCTGGACGAGTACGACTTCCGCTTCCTCGTGGGACCCTTCAACGACCTGGGTGAGCTCGGGGGGTGCCTCAGCCCACCGGCACCCCCGCTGCGGGCACGGAGAGGGGGTCCCTGGCCATGCTGACCCCTCCCCACCCCCGTTTTTTCCCCCCCCAGCCTGCGGGTTGGTGCAGGAGCTGCTGCAGCTGCTGGGGACCAGGCGGCGGCTGTCGCGGGCGGCGCTGCACCTGCTGCTGCTGCCACACCTGCGGCAGCTCAGCCTGCAGGCCTGCCCCGCCCTCGCCAACAACGCCCTGGGCCACCTCATCGTGCTGCGCTGCCAGGTGGGCACAGGGCGTGGGGGGCTGGCACAGCGGGGCGGGGGGCTGGGGGGGCTGGGGGAGTGATGGCAGCGGGGCAGGGGAGTCAGGCTGGTGTGAGCACCCTCTAAGGAGATGGGTGCCCGTCCTTTGTGGGGCTGGGGGTGCCCAATTTCCGTGTTGGGGTGGGTGCTCACCACCCGTGGGGCTGGGGATGCCCACCACCCGTGGGGCTGGGGGTGCCCAATTTCCATAGGGCAGGGGGAATAGAATTTGGGGTGTGTGCCTGTGGGGCTGGGGGTGCCCACCATCTGTGGGTCTGGGGATGCCCAATTTCCATAGGACACGGGGGATAGAGTTTGGGGTGGGTGCTCATCACCCGTGGGGCTGGGGGTGCCCACTTTCCATATTGGGGTGGGTGCTGACCACCCGTGAGGCTGTGGATGCCCGCTTTCCATAGGGCAGGGGGGATAGAGATTGGGGTGGGTGCTCCCCACCCGTGGGGCTGGGGATGCCCACCACCCGTGGGGCTGGAGGTTCCCAATTTCCATAGGGCAGGGGGGATAGAGTTTGAGGTGGGTGCTCATCACCCATGGGGCTGGGGATGCCCAATTTCCATAGGGCAGGGGGGGATAGAGTTTGGGGTTGGTGCCCACCACCTGTGGGGCTGGGGATGCCCACTTTCCATGGGGCAGGGGGGATAGAGTTTGGGGTGGGTGCTTATCACACATGGGGCTGGGGATGCCCACTTTCCACGTTGGGGTGGGTGCCCACCACCCGTGGGGCTGGGGATGCCCACTTTCCATATTGGGGTGGGTGCTGACCACCCGTGAGGCTGTGGATACCCACTTTCCATACGGCAAGGGGGATAGAGTTTGGGGTGGGTGCCCCTCCTTTGTGAGGCTGGGGATGCCCACCACCCATGGGGCTGGAGATGCCCACCACCCGTGGGGCGACTGGGGGTGCCATCATCCGTGAGCCTCGGGCTTGGCACGGGGGGGAGCAGGCGGTGCCTGCCCACCCTCTGTGGGGCAGGGGGCGAGGGTGGCACCCACGGGAGCCGCCCCACGGAGGTCTCCCCGTGCAGGGCCTGAGCGTGCTGGACCTGGGCGGCTGCGGGCGGCTCTCGCCGGCCGTGCTGGTGGACCTGGCCGAGGGGCTGCCCCTCCTGAGCCGCCTGGGGCTGGCGCACACCCAGGCCAACGTGCAGGTGCTGTCGGCCGTGGGCTCCTGCTGCCGCCGCCTGCGGGAGCTCGACGTGTCGGGCTGCAAGAAGGCGACGCCGCGCGCCCTTCGCCACCTGGCCTACGACCCGCTGGAACGGAGCCCCGGCTGCCCCGCGCTCCGCGTCCTGCTGGCCCGCCACCTGGACCACGACGGGGACGGTGACACCGTGGCCGCCGTGGCCTTCCTGCTGCTGGCCCTGCCACGCCTGGAGGTGCTGGCGCACGGCGCCGTGCCCGCCGCGCTGCGGCTGCTCCACTCGGGGCGGCTGGCTGGCACCGAGGACCCCGATGGTTTCCCCTCGCTGGAGGAGCTGGCACGGGCCCGGGGGGCAGCGGCGGAGGGAGCCCCGCTGGCGCTGCCCCTGCGGCAGCTGGAGGAGGTGGAGGAGGACGCCCTGGGCGCCGTCCACGCCGTGTGTCCCCAGGCCGAGGAGCTCAGCGCGTGGCTGGGGGACAGCCCCGGCTCCTCGGGGCTCCGGGAGCTGCCGGGTTGGACGTGCCTGTCCCGCCTGACGCTGGGCTGCTGCGGGCGGCACGGCCGGGCGCTGGCGGAGGTGCTGCCCCTGGCACGGGGTTTGGGCGCCCGCCTGCGCGCCCTGACCCTGCACGGCTTCATCTGCCGGGACCCGCTCTCGCTGCCCGCCCTGCTCGCCAGCTGCCCCAACCTGCAGAGCTTCAGCGCCGAGCTGGAAGCACCCCCGGACTCCCGTGCCCGCCACGAGCCCCCCGAAGAGGAGGAGGAGCCCCCCATCCTGCCACCACGCTGGACCACCGACCTGCTGCCCCGGGGGCTGCCCGGGCTCCAGAGCTTCTCGCTGAGCCTGGCCGGGCCCGTGCCAGCCGCGCACGGGCCGGTGCTGAGCGCCACGCTGGCCTCGCTGCTGTGCCAGTCCCCGCGGCTGCAGAACCTGCGCCTGCTGGCCGTGCCCTTCCCGCTGGAGCCGGTGCTGGAGCCGGCGCTGCCGGGGCTGCGGGAGCTGCGGGAGCTGGCGCTGGCGCAGAGCCGCGTGTCCCCCGGCGCCGTGTGGCAGCTGCTGGGCTCCGACGGGCCCCTGCGCCGCCTGGACCTGTCCCGCTGCCCCGACATCCACCGGCGCGACTACGACGCCTTCCTGCAGGCCGTGAGGAAGCAGCGCCTGGAGCTGGACATCACCTGGGAGTAGCGCCGGGGTTTTTAATAAAAGCCTCACGGTCACGGCCGCCCGGCGCCGCGGCGTGGTGGGTACGGGGGCGGCGGGGCCGCGGTGTCCCCCTCGCCGCCCCGAGGGGTGACATCCCGGTGGGTGGCTCAGTCGCGCTCCGTGAGCCCCGTCAGGCGCTCCGATGCCTCCCAGAGCTTCCGTGCCAGCGCGGCGTCGCGGGCGGCCGCCGAGGGCAGCGCCAGCCGGCAGCTGCTGTCGAAGTATTTGCCGGTGATGCCCGCGGCTTCCTCCGAGACGGCGCAGAAGATGCTGCTGGCAGCGCCCTGCTCGGCCGACTGCGGGGAAACGGGGGTGAGGAGGGGTCTGGCACCCCCCCACACCCACCCCGCTGCCCCCCAGGATGGGCAGGACCAGGTCCCGCTCACCTTCATGAAGGGGCGGAGGAGGACGAAGAGCGCCCGCATGGCCCAGCCGAAGTGGCGCATGATGCCGGTGCTCACCACGCCGGGGCTCACCGCGTTGGCCGTCACCCCTGCCAGGCTTCGCCGTCACCCCGGGGTCCCCAAATCCCTCGGGGAGCCGCGGGAGCAGCCCCCAGCCTGACCTCAGCCCGGGGCTCTGCCACCCAGCGAGCGTCTAACCCGTGTCAGACCCCCCCAGCTCTGCCAGCAGCCCCCCGAAATTTGGGACAGGGGATGTCCCCAGGGTGCCACATGGCACGGGCCAGCCTGGCACGGCTCGGCACCCACCTGTGCCCTGCAGGCGCCGTGCCAGCTCGGCGGTGAAGAGCACGTTCATCAGCTTGGTGCTGTTGTAGGCGGCGGCGTGCCCGCCTGGGCGCCGCTGCCCCGTCAGGTACCCGCTGTCGGCCGTGCCCGCGCTGTGCCGGAACGACGACACGTTGACCACCCGGGAGGGCGCCGAGGCCTTCAGGAGGTCTGTGCCGAGCAGGGGGTGAGCGAGGAGAAATCCCCAGAGCCCCCCTCCCGGAGACCCCCAACCCCCGCGCTCACCCAGGAGCAGGTTGGTGAGCAGGAACGGCCCCAGGTAGTTGGTGGCGAAGGTTTGCTCCAACCCCTCGGACGTGATGGCGAAGGGCAGCCCTGAAAGGAGGGTGGGCGCTGCCGTGGGGCGTGGGCACGGGGTGCTGGACCCCCCGTGGGGGCTGCGGGCTTTGCCCGGTGCGTACCGGTGACGCCGGCGTTGTTCACCAGCACGTCCAGGCGCGGCTCTTGGCGCAGCACGGCGCTGGCGAAGGCGCGCACCGAGGCCAGCGAGCCGGTGTCCAGCAGCCGCAGCAGCACCGCCGGGTTCCCGGTGGCCGCCCGGATCTCCTCCACGGCCGCCTGGCCCCTCTCCCGGCTCCGGCACGCCAGGATGGTGCGGGCGTTCCGGCGCGCCAGCTCCATGGCCACGCATTTACCGATGCCTGCGGGACACGGAGAGGGCGAGGGCGGATCCCAGCCTGGTCCCTCTAGTGAGGAGGGGTCTTGTGGGGTCTGTGCCCCTGCCACAGCCGAAACCACCCGGCAGGGAAAGATGGGCACGGGGGAGGGGATGGAGCCCAGCGTTTGTGGGGTCGCTCTGCCCCTGGGCATATGTGGACATCCCAATCCCAATCTGGGGGTCGCGACACCCCCAACCAAATGCTTGTCAGTGGTCCCATCCCTGAGATGATCAATGGTCCCATCCCTGGTGTGACACAGTGGCCGTGGTGACCTTGTCTGAGACACCCTCGGGAGGTGAGCAGGGGGCACCAGCAGCACCCTGTGGGTGCCCGAGGACCGGCCATTGGCTTCTTGTGCAGCCATTCGCCCTCCCAAAGCGGGGAGCGGGGTGCTGGGCTTGGCAAAGTGACCCCCGTGTCCCCCGTGGGTCACCCCTCACCCACGCGCGTCCCCGCCACCCCTCGCTGCTCACCGCTGTTGGCTCCGGTGACAATCACTGTCTTGCCCGTCAGGTCAGTGGGACACTCGTGGGGCTCCCAGGGTTTTCTGCGCGTGGCCCAGAGCAGCAGAACCAAGGGCAGGAGCAGCAGGAGCCACCACGGGGGGCTCAGAGCCCCCAGCAGCTCCATGGCCGGGCGCGGGGTGGGGCTGGGGACAGAGGTCACAGCAGGACCTTTGCCCGGCTGGCAGCACGGCACGGCACGGCACGGCACGGGTCCCTCTGCCCCGCTGGGAGCCGAGGAGGGACAGCAGGGTGGCAGGAGGGCGAGCCACGCGTCCCCTGTGCCACCCCACTTGTCCCCAATGTCACCCTGTCAGGAGTGACAGTGAATTTTCTGACGTTAATAAGCTGTCGGTGCTGTAAAACCACAAAACAGCACGGGGGTTTTTTTCTCCACTAACGTTTTCTGCCAGTCTGGACGCAAAAATATATTTTCCACCCCAATGTTTCTCTGTGGTTTTGAGTAACGCCGGAAGAATTGCAGCAGTGCAAAAAATGGGGTCACGGAATGGGTGATTTTGGGGTGTCTTGTTTTGTAAGGGCAGCCAGAGCGGACCCTCGACGAGCGTTAAATTCAGAGCCGATGGTGAAATCACTCTCACGCTAATTAGAAACTGAAAGCCACCCCAATGAATCACCTTCCGCTAATGAACCCCAAACCCACGCCTGAGGCCTCATCCGGTGCTGCGAATGAGCTGAGAACCACTCCCGCTATCGCATCCCATGCTAATGAGCTGAAACCACGCCCACCCATCAGGTGCTAATGAGGGTCTCTATAAAGGCAACTCGGGGGTCGTATGTGTCGTACCGCTGTCCTCGGTGCCACCTCGGGGTCCCCGGTGCTACCTCGGTGTTCCCGGTGCCGCTCCGGACTCCCGCAGCCCCGGGGCGGCTACAGGAGGGGCGATGTCCCCCGAAGTCCCCCTCGGGCAGTGCGGGGACACTCCGGGGCTGGAGCGTGTCCCCGTGGGATCAAAGACCTTCACGAGTGGCCCAGCGGGCGGGGACAGTCCCAGCTGCGCCCGGAGCTCCCGGGAAGGCAGAGGAGGCTCCGGGCGGCCTCTGCCCGCCCCGTCCCCGTTTTCCGGGACAGGAGCTCACGGGGACAAACCACGTTTCACCTCGTCACCTCCCTCTTCTTCCTCGTTTGGGGACAAAGGGGATGCGGGGACCAGCCACGCGTGGGTCCGGGCGCTGGTGGCACCACGGGCGCAGCGCTCGGTGCTGCCCCGACCCGGTGCTCCGGTGGCACCGGCTCCGCAAAATTCATTTTAGTGTTTTTTTATTGACTTCTGTTCTATCCAGCAGCACTGGCGAAGAGCCCTGAGCTCCGAGAGCGTCGTACAGCGCCATGCCCGGTGCCAGCCCCGGTACCGGCGAGAGACGGGGCGACAAGGGTCTCCCCGGAGCCGGTACAGCCGCCGGGAGGAACAGCCCCGCGAACTGCCGCGTTCCCGGCGGATTTTCCAGCTCCTCCTCGGATTCTTTATACTCTGAGAGCCGGCACTCCGGGTAGGGCAAGATGGGCTTCAGATCCTTCTCCGCCCTCCTCAACGCCTCGTCCCCCTGCTCGTCCCCGCCGTGCCCCACCGGGGCCGGCCCGCGGCGCTCGCCGCCGCCGCAGCGCACGGTGACACCGGGAGCCAGGCGGGCCGAGGCCAGCCAGGGGTCACAGAGCTGCGGCCCGGCCTTGCCGGTCTGCACCGCCGCCGGCACGACCTGCAGGGATCCCCGGGAGAGCAACCGGCTCCGCGAGGCCGCCGAGCGCGCCCGTTCGGGCTCGGCGCTCACGTCCGCCACCGACACCTCGGGCAGCAGCCAGCGGGTGGCATCGCGGCTGGCATCCAGCCTGGGCACGGCCGCCGTGCCGCGGGAGGCTCTGCGAGGCCGGCCGGGTGCCAGGCTGCAGCGGGAGGAGGACGGCGGTGGTGGCACTCGGTCGCCGTTCGCCACCGGGACCGCGCGGGACTCCGCCGGTGCCCGCGCTGGGGGTTTCGAGGGGGCGGACGGCAGCGGAGCCGGGGGCTGGGGTGGGACCGGTCGCGGTCGCGGGGGCCGGGAGGGGCGGCGGCCCTTCCCGGGGCTCCCGGAGAGGCGTCGGCCCTTCCCGGGGCTCCCGGAGAGGCGTCGGCCCTTCCCGGGGCTCCCGGAGAGGCGGCGGCCCTTCCCGGGGCTCCCGGAGACGTGGTGGCTTCTCCCGGGACTCCCGGAGAGGCGGCGTCCCTTCCCGGGGCTCCCGGGAGCGATGGGCGGCTCCGGGCGGGGCGGTTCTGGAGCGGGCACCGGGACAGCACCGGGAAGCGGAGCGGGAGGAGCCGCGGCGGAACGGGGCTGGCACGGCGGCGGCTCCTTCCCCTCCAGAACGGAGCCGGTGTGGGTGGCGGTGTCCCGGTGTGGGTGACACCGGGGGTCCCACGGGCCCGGAGCCGCTGGGGCTCGGCCCGGTGGGTCTCGGGGAGGGGTGGTCGGGGTCTCACCTGCTCCGGCGGCGCGGGGACAGCGTCGGGACACACGAAGGGAATTTCAGCCTCGGCTGCCACCGGGACATCTTCGGACGACACCTGGCCGGGGACAACACCCGGTGTGGGTGACACCGTGAGCGCCACGGGTGGGTTTTGGGGGGTCGGGGAACGTCTCACCTCTTCCCACGGCAGAGAGAGCTCCGTGACAGCGACAACACCCGGCGTCCGCGAGTCCAGGATGCAGCTTTGGGGCTCCTCGTCCTCCTTCCAGACCCCGTCTCGTTCGGGTTCGGGGTCCCCCTCGGGGTCCGGGTCCCCGTCGTCCCTCCGCAGGAACCTCCACTCGGCGACAAACAGCATGGCATCCCGCATCCGCGCCACCGTGAAGGGCACCCGCTACGGGCACGGCGCTGAGACGGCGCCCGCAAAACCTGCTGGACCCCCCAAAACCTCCCCAAATCTTTGGGGGTGCGGTGGGGAGGGGTCTCTCACCTGCCGAGCCGCGGCCGCCTGCGCGCACTCGCTCCAGACGCGCTGCAGGAGCTCGTCCAGGATGGGCGCCACGTCCAGGGGCTCCCGGGCCGGGGGCTCGGTGTCCGCGGCTCCCGGGGCCGCGCCGGGCTCGGCCGGGCTCGGTCCCGGTGTTTTGGGGGTCGCCGTTTTGGAGAGGCGACGCGGGGCCCGGCCGGTCACTCGTGCCTTGTCCTGCGTGGGTCTGGTGCCGGCGCCGCGGGGCTTCGCTTTCTGTGTGGGACGGGGACAGGCACGGCTCCCAGTGCGGCCCAGTATGGACCAGTACAGACCAGTACACGGCCATGCAGCCCAGCGCGGCCCTCAGCTCATCCCAGTGCATCGCAGTACACTCCAGTATAGCACAGTACCTCCCAGTATGTCCCAGTATAGCCCAGTACCTCCCAGCCGACCCCAGCATGGCCCCCCAGCTCATCTCACTATAGCCCAGTCCATCCCAGTGCATCCCAGTATAGTCCAGCCCACCCCAGCAGGGCCCCCCAGCTGATCCCAGTCCATCCCAGTATAGCCCAGTACATCCCAGCGACCTCAGCATGGCCCCTCAGCTCATCCCAGTATAGCCCAGTACATCCCAGTGAATCCCAGTACACTCCAGTATAGACCAGTACACGGCCACACAGCCCAGCACGGCCCCTCAGCTCATCCCAGTATGTCCCAGTATAGACCAGTACACCACCACACAGCCCGATGCGGCCCCTCAGCTCGTCCCAGTACATCCCAGTATATCCCAGTACATCTCAGTACACTCCAGTATAGCCCAGTGCATCCCAGTACACTCCAGTATAGACCAGTACACCGGCACGCAGCCTGGTGTGGCATCCCAGCTCATCCCAGTACATCCCAGTATAGCACAGTGCATCTCAGTACACTCCAGTATAGCCCAGTACATCCCAGTACACTCCAGTATAGACCAGTACACAACCACACAGCCCGGCGTGGCCCTCAGCTCGTCCCAGTACATCCCAGTACATCCCAGCCACCTCAGCATGGCCCCTCAGCTCATCCCAGTACATCCCAGTGCATCCCAGTACACTCCAGTATAGACCAGTAAGTACACTGCTACACAGCCCGGCGCGGCCCCTCAGCTTGTCCCAGTACATCCCAGTGCATCCCAGCTCATCCCAGTGCATCCCAGTACACTCCAGTATATCCCAGTACGTCCCAGCTCACCCCAGCATGGCCCCCCAGCTCATCCCAGCTCATCCCAGTATACCCCATTATACCCCAGTACACCCCAACCCTGCACTTCCCCCAGCTCCTCCCAGTCAGCCCCCGCCCCCTTTGCCCCGCTCTGCCGCCCCCCAGTCCCCCCCAGTCCCTCCCAGTCCCTCCCAGTTCTCCCAGTTCCACCTCGGCCATCCCGCCCCTTTTGGCGTCCCGGCTGCCATGGCGACGTGACGTGGTCACCGCGCGCCGACAGCGTGACGTCATCACGCCGCGACGCGTCTCCATGGCGGCGGCGAGCACCGAGTGAGGGGGGAGGGGAACCGGGGGGCG